GGGATTCGAACCCCCGATATTTTGTAATATGTCAGTTTTCAAGACTCATACCTTCAACCACTCAGACATCCATCCAAAGCAAAGACGCCCCTTGTACCTTTCTTTCCACTCCGTCAAACACATCGCCAGTGAAGATAAGATCCGGGCCGTTTTTTTTCCCATCTACTACAAATCAAATCGCATCTTACTTAGTAGACTCTCTCTCTCTCTCTCTCTCTCTCTCTCTCTCTCTCTCTCTCTCTCTCTCTCTCTCTCTCTCTCTCTCTCTCTCTCTCTCTCTGCCTCAACCGCCTTCCCTTCGCCTCCGCCTCCTGTCTCTGAGGCTTGTTTTGGCATACAACTCGGCGTCCTCCATCATCGAAGGTCAGCAGAAACGCTGTGACAAGTTTCCTGCAGTTTTCTCAAACCCAGAATGTCATGTGGCATCATAGCATTCACCAAAAAACCAACGTAGTCTACTGAAAGAATCTCTTTTGGGAACACACAAGCGTTTACTCCCAGCCATCTGAAGGAAGAGCAGGCCGTTAACCAGCACTAAGTCATCACAGAAACGGTTGGCCTCCCGTAGGCCCTCTGGCTGCCACCGGCCCAAGAAATGGTTCTTCGGGCGGCTCGGGCCCACGGTCTACTCCCAAAAATTTGTGTGTCACCGCGCCCTTGACCCGCCACTGGAAGTCGGCAGGAAACAGCAGCGAGCCCGTGACCCCCTACCCTTCACCCTAAAAGCAGGTCGGCCGTCGGGACCCCACTTTATCCCCGCGGAACGTTCGGCACTTTAGGATGCGAGTAGAAACGTTTGTCGTCGTGGCAGCCAGGGAGTGAACGGTGCCGAAAAAGTACGAAAAACGGCCTTTTCGTGAAGAGAGCTCGGCCCTTACCCTCACGCGAAAAAGAAGGGGCAGTTCACTCCCTGGCCAGGGATTGGGTGAGAACCGAGAGAAGCGGGCGTGAAGTTTCCGTACAGGGAAAGTTTTCCATATCCGGTAACCGGCACCAACGGAACTGTCAAAAATTTGCGCTGCAGTGGGGTCTGCTTTTCTCTTTCCCACCTCCGGGGCCTACGATTTGGGTTTTCCGGAAGCTTTCCATGCCGAAATTTGCCGCAAAGCAGCGGGGCAGTTCATGAAAAGAGGGCAAGTCGTTTTGTTTTTATTCGTTTTTTTTTTTTTTTTTTTT